TTGTGAGGCCGTGTGGCGAGGTGGAGACCAGCACATGGGGTGACTGAGCCACCTCGAGCAGGATCCGGGGGGCCTGCTGCACCCCTCACCAGCCGGACGGCACCCGTCCCCGCTAGCCCCCCGCGCCCCTGGCCGGGACACTTTGGTCTGCACCACAGAGCAGAACCTTCTTTGGCGTTCCAGGGGCAGCTGGGAGGGGAGGACTCCAGAACGATGCCGACGCCAGAGGGCTTGAACCCCTTGGTGTCCGCTGCAGCCACAGGCCTTGGCCTTGCACGAGCCCCTGAGCACGTCGGTGCTTAACTTCCCGCCTCGCAAGGGTGTTTGAAAAAGGACCCACTGAAGGAGGGAGGCCTGTCCCCTGCCTCGGACTGCGGAGCCGTCTGGTGTCGCCACTGACCTGAAAAGGATTTCAGTGAATTTCAGAGCTGACTTACAGCTGGCGCGGGAAAATCTAAGGGACAGGTGGTTCCCTGAACAGCTGTGTGTCCGGATAGGGGAGGCAGGGAAGAAAATCCCACCTTGGCTGAACCGCCATGGTTTTCTGGGATCTGCCGTAGCTCCCTGACCCTTGGCCATGATAATGACCACATCAAGGCAAATAATACTTCTCCCTTCCTTTCGCTGAAATAATCTCAGCAGGTTAATGAATCTAAGATTTTAAGTGAGCGTATCAAGTGATGGGTGGATGAGAGGGACTGGTTATTCGCTGGGAGGGTTCTTTCAGTAATAGGAGTCTTATTCTGGTGGTGTGCAGACTCCTGGGTCTTTGGGGGGAAAGCCACGGATTGCTCTATCGAAGCAATAGAACACCTGAATTGGTAGTTCTGTGTTTATCCTGCAAATTGAAGATAACTTTAATCCAACGATGTTTTTAAGTGAATTATTTTGCACACTGTAATGAAGCACAACTTCTTTGTAGCCCAAGAAAAGTAAAGAATAATTTTGAGTTTTTAAAAAAACTTGCTCTAAACAAAACCCTTGGACTGTATACCCAGGTTGTTTTGAGGAGGACTGTAGGCAGTCCTGGTTTTTTCTCGCTGATTGAGAGGTAGTGAAACCAAAGCGGCTAAGGTACAGAGGAAGTCCGCTCTTTCTGCCCAAGCCACTCAGGAACCAAACGTACGAAACTGAAAGTAGAGTCCGGGGTGATCGTCCCAACCCTGTTGTCTTCCCCAGAACCCGCATGTTTGTGCAGATTGTTCGGTGCGTGAGGGCCGGGGAGGAGCCGTGCCCACCTTTCCCAAAGCTGCTCGGTGTGTTTCCCAAGCACAGCACCAAGGGGGCTGAGCTGCTGGGTGGGGGGTCGGGAAGCAGGTCGCCGGTGTCACCCACGATATTCTCCAGTGCATTACAGCTGCAGCCAGAGCTGTTCTTGGCATCATCTCCAAAGTCCTTGGTTCAAATGGGTGTGGAGTAAAGGAAGCGAGAGCTATGCACAGGCTGAGGAGGGTCTGTCGCGGGAACCCTGATTTCACTGTATCAGCTGTACGAGCAGAGAGGACCCTGGACGAAACTGGAAGGAGTCTGAGATTTGGGGTGTCTTCCCATTTGTCCTTTTGGACACGAGACTCCTCTCCGCATTCCTTTCCTCTCTGCGTCCCCATCTCCTACTGCTCACTTGCCTCTCCCCAAACACACGCGTGTGCGCACGTGCACACTCACACACCATACCGCCTTCTATTCACTGAGAACTTTGTTTAAGAGGAAAGTGCTTTAGCCAAATGTACACAAAGATGTAAACCGCTAAGAACAATTAGATGATCCCATCCCCATGGGGAGCATTTTAATACTTAAATCGGAAACGAACTGCACCATCCTAGTGCCTTTCGGTTGTCGGTTGTTGAAGGCAGGAGCGCTTCCTGTATTCCCAGGACCTTCGCATCTGGGCCTGAGCTCGTCCAGTTGGACCCACGCATGGGATTCACTCAGGAGCCTCATCTTTGCTCCTTGGTGCTTTTACCTTTTCACTGATTAAGTTCTCCATTTGCAGCGCCCCTGCCCTTCTTTCCACCGCCCCGTGTGCCGGTCTGGACTTCCTTCTCAGCTCTGAGCTTGGCCATGCTGCCCTTTCTTCTTTTTCTTCATCTTCTGAATTGCTTTCTCTCTGGGCAAGCACATGCCACTCCACCTCTCGGTCTTCTTTCTTCTAAGCTCCCCGCTCCCCAGGTCCTTTGGCTCGAAGGTATCAGACTCAGCCTCCATCCAGAGCTCTGGTCATCGCGGGTGAAGTTACGAGCTTCCCCATTGCTCCCTTCTCCAGCGGCCAACACTGTAAGCCCAGGAGAGGGAGAGGAGAAATTACTGAGATTCCGTGAGGAGCTTTCAGAAGGCAGGGGTTGTGTCTCTCTCTGCTTTTCTTGCTATACTAAGCCCAGCGAGGCGTAGTTGGTATTTTTGTCTTCTTCTTCTTCTTAGAGTGATTACAGTGGGTTGTTGGAAGCTGGGACCTGACTTCCCTGTTAAAACTTATTCTTAGATCTGAAGCAATTCCTGTAGCGAGTCTTGGGCTCACATCATGCCACTGAAGCCAGAGTCACTCGTTAAATTGAACATTTCAGTAAAAATCAATCAATCAATCAACCAATCAATCTACATCAGGCCAAATGAATTCTGGTCACAGAAATCAAAATAGCTGAAGTGAAAAACTCCTCTAAAATTTGGCCAGTCTGGGGCACCTGGGTGGCTCAGCCAGTTAAGCATCTGACTTGATTCCAGCTCAGGTCACGATCTCCGTCCTGAGATTGAGCCCCGCGTCAGAGTCTACATTGAGCTTGGAGCCTGTTTAAGTTTCTCTCTCTCTCTCTCTCTCTCTCTCCCTCTCCATCTGACCTACCCCCAACTCAGTCTCTCTCTCTCTCTCTCTCAAAAATAAATAAAAATGGTCAGTCCATCTGTGATTCTTTCAAGAAACTTAACGACTTTCTTTTTTTTTTTTTTAAAGATTTTATTTATTTATTTGAGAGAGAGAGAGACAGTGAGAGAGAGCATGAGCGAGGAGAAGGTCAGAGAGAGAAGCAGACTCCCCGTGGAGCTGGGAGCCCGATGTGGGACTCGATCCCGGGACTCCGGGATCATGACCTGAGCCGAAGGCAGTCGTCCAACCAACCGAGCCACCCAGGCGCCCCAACTTAACGACTTTCAATTTCTTCCATCACATCTGTGAACTCCCACATTTTAGGAGTTTCTGATCCTTGGATGCCTGTAGTTTGAGCGCCAAGAAGCAGTGATCATCTTCTGCTTTGTCCAGAAGGTGAAGGTTTTGTATATTTTGTATAGTTTAATCTTGGAAGACCAAAGCAAAATCAAATATACAAGTTTCCAAATCTCTTTTCTAAATGAGGAGGAAGTATCATAGATGTGTTTAGAAATGCTGAATGAATGGAATTGAACTTTATTTTCTCCTATGCTTTAAAGATTTCGTTTATTTGTTTGCTTGTTTGTTTAGAAAGAGAGAGCAAGCAAATGAATGAGTAAGCACACGTGCATGATGGGGGAGGAGCAAAGGGAGAGGGATAGAATCTGTCTCCAGCAGACTCGGAGCTGACTGCAGAGCCTGACGCGGGGCTCAGTCCCACGACCCCAAGATCATGACCTGAGTCGAAATCAAGAGTCAGACATTCAACTGACTGAGTCACGCAGGCTTCCCTCTCTACTCTTTTGAATGAGTTTTTGTTTCGAAAAACGACAGTGCCAACCTTTGGTGGCTTGCAATGCCAACTCCCTGTTGTCAACTCTGCCTTTTTTTTTTTTTTTTACTCTTCTTAGTCTTGTTTACTTTATTCCCCTAAGTAGAACCAAAGCTGATGCCAGAGTGCTGTGCATTTCTTTCATGGTCCTTGGTGAATGTACTCTGTCTGGTGTGAGCGAGTACCTCTCCAAGCCCTCCCCAGCTCCCTGACCCTATGCTTTAGGGTACTCAAGCACAACTCAGGGTCAAATATTTCCAGCCTTCATGAGCACATCTCCCCGCTTCCCTGCCTCAACACAACTTACAAAGATAACTCCGCTCTGAAGCATTATCTTTTATCTTTAAATTTTTTAAGATTTTGGTCCACCCCCCTTTCCCAAGCCTGACTGTGCTAAAACCTACCTGCTGATGAACAGATCATTAACCAGCATCGCTATCTGATTTAAACCGCTGTGCTAACCAGCATCTTTGGCTGCAAACTGAAGGAGGGGTCAGCCATCCTTCAGAATGCAGAAATAATGGTGTAAGGCTTCAGCACCATTTTCTTGGGTGGAGGAAGGTGGCTGGGAAGAGGGCTTTGCTGGTCTCTCCTGGGGGGCGTTCAGCCCAGACTCCCATCAGCCCTTAGATATCAGGAATCAAAAGTTGCCAGTTGGTGTGCTGTAGCCCTACGTAATAAGACGTGGGACAGTGTGTGCAAACGTGTCTGGGTGTGTGCCCACCTATACCGTAACAAAATTCCCAAACTGGTTAAAACAGCCCTACATTTTGGCCAACAAATACTGAGTATCTCGTATATGGAACTTTCCATTATATACTATTGGTGGAGATAAAAAAGAAAGAAGGAAGCAGCATCCCAGCTTTTCAGAACCTGAAACGGTGTTCAACACCGTTGAGTTTAGACAGTGTTTTAAAAATGTGATGTTCTGGAATATTCTTTAAGGAAATGAGAGTGACTGCAAGTTTCTGCCATTGTCACTGTGATTAAGCCCTTCTCCGTGTGCGCTCGCTACACCAGCCCCATTAACATGTCACCCACCACTTACCCACCCTCCCATCCCTGAAGAGCTGCGTTCCAGGTGGTTGGTCCACAGAGTCATGAATTGAGCTCCATGCGGGTAAAGCTCGTAAATATGGTTTAGGTGAACGGCACTGGAAAAAGCCCGAGATGTTATTACTCTTCTCATGCCACTTTGTTATTTTTAAATTGCGCGTCCTTTTAAGTTGATTATTTGTTCGCCATAGTCTCCGTTATAACTAAGCAAAGCATTCACAGAAATTTCTAAAACCTTTTCATTTCTCTCTGTAGGTTGTTGTTTCGTAACATTTTATACAAGAAAAGCTGCACTTGAGGCCCAGAATGCACTGCACAATATTAAAACTTTACCTGGGGTGAGTCGGTTTACTTTTGTACCAAAATCACTTTATTGCTTGAAAATGGTCCTTTCAACTGAAGGTTCTAGTTATGGGCTCTTAGTGGCAAAAATGACTTTGGTCTTTTGAGGAGTATGAGCTGACCCCTCTGTTCCCCCCCTGCAGCAGCCAGACCAGCTGGCCGGCCCAGAAAGGACTGGCATTAATGCTGATGGAAAGAGCTCTCAAATAGTACGTCCCCTGGTCAGAAAATCAGAGTGACCCCACTGGGTAGCAGCGGCTGTCAAAGAGTATTGGGTGGGCTAAGATTTTAAAAGGGAAAAGAAAAAAAAAATCCAACACACAGGAGAAAAGCAGATGGAAAAGGAAAAGCTTTTACTCACCAGGAGCCCCTTTTGAAATTTAGTCTCAGATTTTCTTTTGAAAGGACAAAATGTACCCTGTACAGCCATAATATTAAACCTCCTAATGGTTTCTCAACAGTCATTGGTGGTTAACAAAGTCAATGTTTTAATGCCTAATTTGTGGCTTCATGTTGATAGAGAACAGAAAATACAAAGCTTACAATTTTTTTTTTTCCATTTCCTTCCCGGTAATATTTGATGATTAGTACAATTCACTAGAAGCAAACTGATGGTGTATATAACTACTGCATCCGAATACATGATTTCTGGGGTTTTGTGGCATTTTTTATATATTGCATGCTGGTGTAAAGTGTCCTGTGTTGTTTGTCTATTTTCCCCAATGACCCAAATATTGGTGATGAATTCATTTACTATCCTAACGGTGTGTATTGGTTCTAATGAAGAACTTGTGGTGAGCCATGCGATAATAATTTCATTGCAACCTGGTTTGATCAGAGTATAAGAAAGATAATACAGTGTCCCTCGTGTTTTCAGGGCGTGATTCTGGCTACCATTGTGCCGTCTCTGTAGACACACGGACACCTGTGTGTACACAGGCTAACATACGCACACAGGCATTTGATGACCCATCACCCCAGAGAAGAGAACATTTGTTTAAATCACCTTAGGTCCATTGAAAATTTCATAGCATTTTGTAGTGGCAAGCTACTCAAGAAAACGTTTTCAAAATATTAGCTTCTTAGCCACCCCAAAATAATAAATTACGAACCGTGGTCTTCAATCCCACCCTGTGGCTTTTCCCTTTTCCTTAGAGGAAATCAAAGAGCAGAAGAGCCAGAAAAGCAAGCACGGCATAGGAGACTTCACCCTCCCTGTTTTGCTACTTCTCCCTAAAACTTTTAAGGTGGTTTTAGTAAAAGTCAGCTTTTAGGACATCTAAGTGCTTTTGCTCAATGACTTTTTTTTTTTTTAAGTATTATTTCAGCTTTTTTTTCCTTATAAATGGAATTTTTTCAATGTAAATTCTAGAAGGTCGCAGGGTTAGGTCACATTACCAAATGAAGAAACCAAGGCACATACTTACAGGCTCAGTCAATAATAAGAAAATTTTTTGGTTTTGGGGGTTTTGTTTGTTTTATTTCTCAGTCTCCTAATCACACCGAAAGACCACTTTGTATTCCTTCTTTTAAAAAGAAATACTTAATAGTAATCGGCACACAAAATCCCTTCTAGGTATGTTCAAAAAAATTCCCGAGGTGATGAATTTATTTAGCATTTAGGATATATATCACATTCTAATTTAAGTTAATGCACAGCTGGGGGCATTTGAATTCATCCACTCCACCTAAACTTGCACAACTCCTCAGGACGCCATCCTTATTGGCAAAGACACTCTCAAGAAGCCCCAAGTTCATATGATGAGTGGGCTGTGTTGAAAAACCTACAGGGGGGGTAGCAGGTCTGCTTCTGTTTAGGACAACTTACCCTGACCCTTTCCTAGCAAACAAGGAACATCTTCAGTATTTAAAAAAAAAAAAAAAATGCATATATGGTCTGTTTTTCTCTCCTGAAAAATTCTGCATGCAGAAATCTGGAGTGGTGATTTTGGAGACTCGTTAGTAAGCACAAGAGTTCTGGAGTTGGAAAAGATGGCTTGGGGGTTGTTTTTTGGTTTTCTTTTTCTCCGGTTTGGCTTCCTATGCCTCATGACCTACAGCAGGTTAGAGGGAATTTGTGAGGAGTCTGGTCTGATTTGTAGGCTCCCGTCCTTCCCAGCACACACCGCGGGTACATTCGCCACTTCAAATGAGGTAAATGGGCACAGGGCTCCCTATGTTGCATTTAGGGATAGTTCTGTCTGAAAAAACAGCACCCCGAACAGCTAGAGGCAAAACATGGAAAGTTGCTTTCCTTTCAGCTGCGAGCTTTTGGTGGACAGAAAGCAATGGGACCAGACATAAAAGATTAATGCATATTTGGGGGGAAAAATATTAGGGTGGCTTGCTGTTTGATTACAAGTCTTGGAATTAGTCAACATTTCCATAATTCTAAACCAATATACACCTGTTTTCCCACTGTGATGTGAAGGCACAACTTAATTTAACAGAATCCCTGCTGTGCTAAATCTCTCATTAACTACCAAGTGAGTTCGGTAATTTAAAGTTGTAGCACTACTATTTTAACTGGTTGCCTTCGTATTATGAAATTAATAAGAAATTAATGATGCACTTTGCCATATGCCTTCAATTTCTTTCTGAATAAAAATAAAAGGGATAAAGAAAAATGCATCAGCAGCTGACACTTTAAAGCTTTTCTGGTTGTAATCATTTTTCCTGCGGATAAAATCCATTAAAAAGGCACTTGCTGCTTTTTTTTTCTCCCCCTAAAGTGTCCAAAACTTTCAATTTAAAACAAGATCAAATAGTGCTGGGTTTCCCCCCCTCCCTTGTTTAATTTTCTTTTGCAGCTGACGTTTTAATATCATAGGGAACTTTCATCGTGCACCCAAATTTGATTGATGGTTAGGGACCTGTCTTTCAGTCTTGAGAAAAGCAAAGAACTCAGTTAGTATGGCAGAGGGAAAAATGCTGATGGGACTGTCTTACTCTGTTGAATGAATTTTTCTTTGGAAGCACCCCTCCTTCGTGCCTCATGTGGGTCTTAGAGACCCTTTCCATAGTGGACGGGGGGTAAGGCAAAAGATCAGGGCAGAGTCATTAAGGACACATTGTTCACCCCCTATAACTGAGGAAAACACGGGGTCTTTCATCCTGTGAAATGCTCACCATAAATCCTAGAAATACACTGTTGGCACTAAAGGGAGCCGATTCAACAGCTCAACCCAGGGAGCAACAAAGAAGGAGCATCTAGGGTCCTTCCCCTGGGCTGACCATGCTCTCCTCTGGAAAGGGAGACTTGAGGCCTGACAGCAGATCCCATCTCAGGCACAGTGACCTCTCGGTAGGTGAACAAAACACTAACGATTCTCGAGCGCCTGCTGGGCACCAGGCACTAGGCTAGAGCAGGTCACGCGTGCACGCAGGCCTGTCCTGGAGCTGCGGAGTGAGACTCCCGTCACCTCAAGGGAAGACTTCCGGGATGTCAGGCAGGGCCACGTGACCAGCCGTTGGCTTGGCTGCAAAATTGTTAGCCGGACCTTTTCCGAAGCCCAGCCGTTTGTGTTCCTGGACAGATTTTGGTTGCCTCTGCCTTGACAGTGTCGCAAATCAGGCTCAGAGGTGGCTTCTGTTCAGGAAGGCACAGCCTACCTGGTAGGGGGCGTAGGAGAAATGTCATCGCGCGCCGTTGTATTTCCCAGAGACAAATCTGTGTGAAGGCAGCTTTCAGGATTCATTTCCATTCTCACTGACCTGATTTAACTTAATTAAAAAATAAAATAAAGACCTTAACTGAGGCAGGGGAAGACCACCACGATCCCTTCCGTAATCAGATGCCCAGGGCCACAGAGCCCCCGTGCCAGGGTCAGCACTGTGCCTTCTGTCATTGTCTTTTCAAGGTCTCCGCGCATGTTGTCTCTAGCAAGAAGGCTTTTCTGATTGAAAATCTACAGCAGTATCGTTAGAGCATTCACTGTATAAATTAATTTAATTACGGATGTAATAACAGAGAGGAATACAGTTTTGGAAAAGCTCTTAAATTTTTACAGCAAGGAGGAATCAGAATCTAAACGTCTTGTAAAATATTAATTGCAAATTTCTTCCAGACATTTTCTCAGCCCATGCCTTACCCCTTCTCTTCTCTTTAGAATCACGACCAGTTTTATTAAATGCGGTTTCTATGAAGGGGCTATTCCCCGAGAGAACATTTGTTTAGAGCGCTCCATTTTCGTGGTGGCTGACGGAAAGGTGTTTTATAATGGCACATGGGACGGGAGCGAGGACTGCATGTAGACTGGAGATATAAAAACAAATGAGCCTCATCCAGTAGGAAGAAGCAGTAAATAAAACTGCCTCCTGGGACCAGTGTGTTCACCCACATGAAGTGAGGCGGCCCCTTCCTGGCTTGCCCTGAAAGACATCATTTCCTGACGCGGGGAGGCACGCTCCTTCCTCCCCGGTGGCCTTCCTTGCAACTCTCCGTAGAATTGTACCCCTGTGTCCTTTAAGAGCGGAATGCTGGGGTTTAATATGCTTCCACCAGAACAGCTTGGCTCTCCCTGGGACCGAATTCAATTTGCCCATTGTAATGCATTTTGAGGTGCTCCTTTTCCTTGAGCCCCCCCTTCTAATTATTAATATGTGTTTAGCGCCCTTGTTCTCAGAGCCACGATGATTATTTTATCGTTACCATCATCGTTACTATTTGTCATAAAATCCCTCACACCTCATCTCATCCTATCTTGGCTATGCCCTGCCCCTTCCCCTCCCGCCCCGCCCCGCCCCAAAACCACCTTATTTAATCCAGACCTAAAGAGGCCGGGCTCGAGAAAGTTTCTTCTCAAATGCCATTTATTTAAAAACAGGAAGAAACAGCCAAAATATCTGCCCAAGCAGATTTCCGGCCTCAAAATCCTGTTTCATGTAGAACCCAAGAACATCCATGCGCTGCCTCGACGAGTCGCCTCCGAGTCTGTATTGTTGGCCCAGAGCTGCTCTGAGGCCTAGAGAATACAGCAGCAGCCCCGCCGCCTGG